GAAACTGTGATTAAGTATTGAAGATAAACTATTTTGTTGGTAGCAATTTTTTAGTTCCTTGAAAAAATCCTGACCATGAGGATTATCATGTCACATATTTTCTGTATCCTCCATCATTTTAATCAACATATAAATGTCTGTGACAGGTTTACAGGAATCAACAGTGACTGAATCAAAAATACAAAGCATGTTGCTGTGAATAGCCTTTCTATGATGTTATGCAAATTCGCCTGCATCTATCACATAGAAACAATCATTTTGTTCTACTACATTTGGCTAACGTAAGTCTACTATACACCAACCTCTTTAATGAACACTATAAACACAATGAATAATACAGTGCATTGCAATATGTAATTTTCCAATTTAATTTATTGTGTATTTTTTACGCAATTTGCTCATTACCTTTCTCTTCACGTAACACTTCTTGATACAACACTTTCCATTTATCTCTCCTCTCTTCCAGCTTTTTCTTTTCATTTTCTAACTCCTCTTTTTCTCCTTCATATTCTTCATTCTCTATTCCCTTCTTCAACTTATTCAACCTCTCTCCCCACTCCTTCTTCTACTCCTTGTACTCTTCTTTTGTGTCATTTAATTCAGTTTTAATATCTTCGTGCGTTGTCATTATTTTAAAAAAGAATAATTTTTAAAAAAAAATTTTTTTTTTTGATTTGATCGATCAAAATAATTCGTTTTTGATGATGTTTTTTGATTACAGATTGGTTGTGCTTAATTATTATAATTTTTAATTATTTTTATCAAAAATACAAATAGACTGAGATTTATATTAAATAATGGATTGTATAAAACTGGATCATAATCACATGAAATAATTTGCAAGAATCATTAATCACATATTTTAAATTTTATTTGAATCTCATCAAGAAGTTTAAAATTAACAAGTTCTTCAACAATCGGTTATTCACTCATATTCGTTTGATCAATTGCCATTGCTGAATTACTAATAATATATATTGATGATTTTTGTTTTTTGGCAAGATTTTGGGCTGTTGTTTTTAAATTATTTATATTGTTTGGATCTTCTTTTCTTATAGTTTTAATTCTTAACATTGAATTAGTATCACCATCCCATTGTCTAATTTGTTTAATAAAGAAAAATAATCAGCTAATTTAATAACTTTAGAATTTAAAGTATTTTCTTATTTATATAATAAACTAAATTTACCTTAAGGTCTTGACATTTTTTGGATCCATTAAATTCAGAATTTCTTTAATGATAAGATTGTTGGATTTGTGTTATTCATACAACACAAGATAAAAGATTTTTGAAATATTATAATATACTAAATCCTTCCATATACTCTCTTTTCTCTTTTAATTTTAATGCATCCAAAAGAAATTGTTTTGATGATTTAGTTTTATGTCATATTTTAGTGAATCAAGATTTGTTATATCATCATCATTGCGAACTATATACCTATTGTACAAACCAAATTTAAATTAATATTAAATTAAGGTAATGATAATTATGTTAACCCTTTTATTACATTTCTATTAAGTCATAAACTTTAGCATTTGTTGCACACGGAAGTGCATCATCAAGTGCATATCTAAACCATAATAACCGTTCGACTAAAAGGATTATTAGATTTTCTTGATTGATAAAAAAATAATTTCAACAGAAAAAAGAAGGCTCGAAAATTAACAAACCAATTGGTTGAGCTTCAGATATCCTTCTAGCTTTATCTCTTTTTAGATGGTAGTAATTTGTTGAAGTTGAGCTGCTTTACGACTAGAAGGGTGAATTATAGAGTTTTTGTTTTTGATTTGTTTGAACGTATGACGTTTATTATTTGGCTAGTTTATTAAATTAAATACAATTAATTAA